ACAATGGCTTGGGAGATGCACAGCCAGTTCTTGAAACAAGATGACGTCGCCGGTTATCAATGGAATCCCAATAGTATGCATATATTCTGTTTCTGTCATAAGATAGCTTTAATCGTCAATGCTGGCTTGGCAGCATTAGGTGTGAAAGCTCCTCCACCATTGAAAGTCAAGGAATCCAATTGAGGCCATTTCCCAATGTTTGAAAACATTGCTGAGGAAGACGAAGAAGAAGTCCAAGAAGAACCTCAACCTGGTCCTGACCGATCCAACCCGAATGGAACCGAAGATCAAGATGTTGAGCACGATCTACAAGACCTTGTTGATACACAACCGGAAGAGGTGGTTGCTGACCTTGATGATGAGGCCGAGTGGGATGCGGCTGACGCTGAAGAGGAGGCATTTCCGGAAATGGTAATGGAAGAGAACGAAGCGCATCCGACTCACCGTCGAGAAGCTAACCATCTAGATTACATATTGCGAAAGGTATGATAATGAGCACACATCTCTATCTGTGTGATGATTATTGAATACTGATTGATTTGTGACCAACAGGTGGACTTTATTACTCGTCGAATCACGCGGTCAGCCGCGTGGCGCAAGGAGTTTGAACGGGTGAGCGTGCAGAAGGGATTCAGCGGGTCACTCATCGCAGGTTATGGGATTGGATGGAATATCAAGTATATTAGTCGCCACAAAGCTTGGCTGGCGCGAGAAGTAAGTCAAATTTCTTCTTGTCTTGTGGATTCAGCTATTTAGCAAATGACATCCATCATGCTCTTTTCCAGGTAATCGATCAACTTTGTCGAGATGATTTAAACAAGGTGCACGCAAAGAATCGTCCAACTCGCAAGAACAAGAAACCTGACGGTTATTTCCACGAATTGGAAATGACAACGGCCGAGTGGGCACAAGTGCGTAAGATCAACAATGAGCTGGAGGTAATTTCATTTATACCTTGTGATTTTATATCTTTGTATTACATCTATCTAATTGACCTTAAATTGCTTTGTATCTCACAGCCTTTCTTAAAGATAACCTTGCTCATGGAAGCCGATGGACCTACCGGATGCATGGTAATTCCTAAATATGTGGAAATACGTAACTCGCTGGCCAAAAAAATCCAGCCGCTTGACACCACCGTCGCAATGTACCCAATGCTTGCAAGGATGCATGAGAAGACCATTGAGTATCTCAGCGAGGCTCTCGAATGCGAGACCCTGGTCATGGCCACGTTACTTCATCCTTTCTTCAGGTTGAAGTTTTTTGTGAAATGGGTTGGAACCACCGCAAAGGAAACCATGAATGCTGAAGCTACTCTCCGTCGTTTACACCGGGAGTATGAACTGGCAGCACCTCTTTCACACAAACCAACGTCTTCACAGCTCGACACCAAAAACTCAAAGAGTTCTCCTACATCTTCGCCAAGACCAGATATCTTCTTCAGTGACTCTGAAGAAGAACCCGAGGCTGAAGTATCTGAGGACTTGGCGTTCAAGAACTATCTACGAGGAAGTGACAAAATGAAAACCGAAGATTTTGACGTTCAGGATCCCAAAGCAAGTCTTCGATGGTGGAAAGTGAGTTTGTTTCTTTCTTCCCGAAACACTTTACACTGAACAGTGTGACTGACTTTCAATCAATATGTTTAAAGGTGCATGAAAAGGCTTATCAAGTCCTTGCTCGAATGGCAAAAGATTATTTGGCGTCGTCAGGTTCATCGTGCGCCGCTGAACGCATATTTTCATGTGCTTCGGACGTCTGCTCATCCAGTCGAGGCGCGTTGATAGCTTGAACCATCGAGATGCTGGTTTCAAGCAGGATGTGGTTAAGGGAAGGTGTGGAGCTCGGGGTAGGATTTGAAGACCTTGTGAAGGTTTTCAAACTGATGGGAATATCTATGAATTAATTTCTTATTCATCATTGTTATGCTGCCTCTTTACTTTATGTTTTTTCGAATCGATTACTTTTGAATTAGCTTTTTATTTCAATACTCTCGTTAACTTATTTCAGATCGAATTTATTTAGTTTCTTTTCATTATGCTACACCTTTTGGCGGTGTAGCTGTAGCGGTAGCTTGGGGCGCAGCGCGTATACGAAGAACAGTTAAAGTAGCTGTTAGCTCCCGGAGCGTGCCTGTTTGGCCCAATGCTACGAGGATTCCAAAAATCCTTATCTTTTTAATCCGCTGCGTTAACCAGGTAACACAGTGGGTACCTGTGAAAATACGCTGCGTCTGCGGTTAACTGGGTCGTAGCGCGTTGCAGCGCAGCTGACCCGGTGTTGCATGCACATAGTTTGATTTTGAGCTAGCGGGAAACCACCTTGTGTATTTTTTGGGGTTCAAATTCATAAATCCTGTGGTGAGTTCATCCTGTATCCTTAACAGTTTGTTTCTTTAATTGCTTGCATGAATAATAAGAATATCAATGAGTGTTGGAATACTCATGTAGACATCATGTTAACCCTTGTTGTATTGCTTACTATCCATGATGTGATTTCAACTTTGGCTTCTCCTTTACCTCTCATTTCATTTATACTCAATGGATCATACAGTTTTTATCACCAAAGCACTCTAAGTGGTTGGCCCTGGGGTTTACCTGGTTCAACTGGTTGAAGGGTGTGAATAATGCCCATTGCCTTCAAAGAGAGGGAGCAATGAGCTTTTATTGTGCAAATTTGGACTTTTTATATTTCTTTGAAATTTCAGCTGTATCATGGGTTTTGAACTTGTGGTCTACAAATTGTCTAAGTGCTTAATTGCATAGTAAATGGTGTAAAGCCATGAAAAATGCCGGTGAGAGGCTTGTATCATGGCTATATAGCCCATGGTCCAACTGTGGAGCATTAACACCCCCAGCGCTCCACTATATTGCCCATTTTAACAAGTGTAGCGCTTTGGCGCCACTGCCAGCAAAAGGTAATTTCCCCTGGGGAAAAGTTGAACAAATTTTGGAGAAAATAATTTTTTCCCACACTGAAGACAACCCTGGGCCAGCAACGCAGGTGTTGTGTGCTGCGCTGCGGTTGCGTTGGGTTTTTCTGACCGCACCACACCGTAGAATCAATTTTCAGGTTGCGGCCTGACCCGCGGTGCAACAAGATCACTCAGATTAGTGTTTTTTTTGGGCCACAACAATGTTTGTTGCATTGCTGCCCCCAAAAACTTGGAAATTGATGTTTTTTGGCGCTGTTGCGCCTTTTGCGTTGCGCAACTGTCAAGGCGCCACACAGCCTAGCCTTGACTTTTGTCATTGTGGTAGTTCCCGCAACACAGTGTCTACTGCTTGTTGGTGTTGCGTGTTGTGGAGCAACACATCAAAAAACGGGTGTGCTGCGGCGCGTTGCATTGCTGGCACAGGGTTGCTGAAGATTTCCTTTGGGAAAATTTTATACAATTCTCATTTTGATTTTTTTTGGGCTTAGAACAACTTCATAGACTAGCTATGAGACTCTCAATTACTATCAGAAGTCATAACTGAAGGTTACAACAAAAAAAGACTAAAAAACAACTTTTTGATTGTTCACAAAAATTACATGTATCATTTTTTTCTCTTGATGATTCACCAATATCACATTTTTGATTTCTTCAAGATCTTGTTTAACAAAATTACATATATGAATATCATCTTTCTTTGGGACAGCCACGTGTATCTACACCACGGGGCGAGTCCAATGTGGAGCTTATGTGTCTCTACCAGCCCCCTCATAACATAGGGTGATTCCGACATCTGGTATCAACTGGCTTATGTATACACTGAAATGAGAAAGCTCGAAGTGTATGATCGCTACCACGAATTCAAAGATCACTGCATTCAGATTCTCCACAAGCGGCGTCAAGCTTTTAAAGACAACATCTACATCATCTCACTGTTCCTGATTCCAACTCAAATTCGATTTGCTACATTGGCAAAGTATCCATTAGAAAACATGATCCTCATGATCCTATCACTCGCCAAACAATGGGATTACACATTGCAAGATGCTCACACCCTCAAGCAAGAAATTCTGGCACATGTTGAACAAAGTGGTCAGTACAGCCCCAAATCAAAAGGTAATAACGAGACTCTTTTACAGTTCAAAGCGATGTCATACATGCTGAGCATTGAATTGCTTTAACTTTCAGTCGATTGACCTATTGACTACTGGCGTGCTATTCCATCAACTTCTCGAGCAAACCCTTTGAAACGACTTGCAATCCGAGTTTTGGAAATTGTTCCCCACGCCGGCGGGATTGAGAGTCTTTTCTCCCAGATGTCTGCAACAAAGACTAAGCGCCGAAGTAGGATGAGAGTAGCTCTTTTGAAGATGCTATCACAGCTTCATATAGCCCTTTCAAAGGAAGGAAATAGAATCAAGGCCTCAAAACCAGTCATTAAGCGCCCAAAAGACACCCCGGTCGCGAATACAGAAGACGACTGGGTTGATCAACCGAACAATTCTCCTTTGTTCAATCAACCCGACGACTTCGACATCTTTGAGGCTGGAGCTTACTCTGCAGAGATAGCTGACATCAACAACATCATTGATGACAGTTTTGATGGGCTGATCAACGAGTTTTTTGATTTGGGCCAATTTAAAGCAGGCGACGTTGTCAATATCAACGGTCTGGGTCGTGAAGTTGTTGTAATTGAAGATGTAGATATTGAGTGGAACTTAAATGATGTCTAGACCAATCTACATCATTTTTGTGATTGCAATCAAAGAACAAATGGTGTTCCACCCTTGAGAATGATAGTCTTGAAGAAAAAAAAGCGACTTTTGAAAAAAATTGGCGCGCCGGCGCGCCACCAGCCAAGGCGCGGATTGTGGCAAGCCTTATTTGGCGCGCCGGAGCGCCACCAGTCCAGAACCCCGCGCCAACTTTTTGAGGGGAATAAAGAGACAAGAGAACTCATGTTGTATAGGTTATCAGAGCAGTAGTTGATTGGACGCTTGTGTGAGTCTTGAGTGCAACTGTACGCATCCAATTGGACATCCATAATGAGGTTGTTCAAATCCACTCAAAGGATATTCTGGATTACGAGCCGGAAGGTCAGTAGATGAAGGTGTATGAGAGAGAACAAACATACCTCCAAGGTATTGCCAGGGGTCCAATTGTTGGCCTTCTTTTCAGTGGCAGTCTTTTTCATCTCAGAGAGTGAATGAGAGTAAGTGAGGAGGCCAACATTTGTAACAAATTGATGTTCTGGGCAAGTGGCCTGAATACACACTTTCAGCTTGGTGGGGTGAAACATAAAGACAAGACAGGCCTGAAAAGCGATAGAAGGGAAGCCTTACCTCACAAATATTGAGGGCCCGCTTGTGAACTTTGCATGGCATTTTCAAGAGCTTGGCCACCAACTCCAGATGTGCACTTGAGGTGAGGCCAACTGTAGTCAATGACGCTGGAGACTGAAGGAAAATGTTGTTAGAAGGGTTGTAATTGGGATGGATTCCGGTGCTATTTGGTTGAGCACGTGAGTTACTACCACCCTCATCAAGATTTTGCACAGGTGGACCACATTTCTTGGACTTTTGAAGAGGCGATGCCGGCAATGAATCATCCTTGGAGTTCTGAAAACCATCGGAACTATCCTCGCCATTAAGGTTGTTTGAAGCTAAAAAACAAACAAGATTATATCAGATTCATGGAGCCATGATTTAAAAAAATAAGAGAGATGAAAAGAGAAAACAAGTTCTGACTTTTGGATTTTGGCATGATGATCAAGATGGCATCAAACGATTGATGGTTGTGGTGTATTTGGAGGTGAGGGGTGAATGGAAGGGGTGATCCGACAAGGAGTCTAAAGTTGAAAGTCAAAGTGTATTACAAGCAGTGAGTTTTACCCTTTACAGTCACATCTGTGACAGATGAAATTGTAACCAATTTGAACTTTACAATCATTTTGGCAACAGTTTTGAGGCAGATATCAAACACCTGATTTGAGGTTGTTTGAAAAATGCTAAGCAGGCATGTCTTTTTTGTTCATATGAATTTGAGATCACAGCTAGACTTCATTCTTCACAAATTTACAAAAAGAACACGGACAAGCATTGAAAGCTATTATCACTACGCCAAATTGCAAATTTACCGTGGAGTTTAGAAAATTGAGTAGACATAGAAAATTATAGAGAAGCTGGCAAGGGTCAGAAAAATATGAAAAAATAATGGGAGGGCCCTTTGATGCATTCTGATTGTCTGGCATATTTCTTCATATTTTTAAAACCACAATGCATATAACACTACACAAAATATGATATCTTCTGGGCAGAAAATATAAAAACCAACAAACAGAGATATTGAGCAGTCTTGAAGAGAGACAAAAATACACCGAAGTATGCATATTGTTCCTATGGCTGAGACCTTTGATTTGAGTATTTTTTTGTATTTTTAGTGTGAAAATTGTTGATTGTACTAACAAAAAACCTCCAGGATCATCAGATTACAACCTGTAACAGATATTGGAATTTGGCTCATGAATGACAAGGGGATAATTTCAATTCTAAAATACTTCATATCTTTTGCAGTTCTTGGTCAAAACACTCACTAAGTAGTTCATTAGAAAGCCATGCACTTTATTCAAATGTTACATCAATGCATCAAATCTGTAGCTCCACTGCAAAAAAAGTTATTCGCTGGTTGGCCTCAAAAAAGTATGGTTTATGGGGAATGATGGAGATATGGGTTTTCTGTCAATTTCCCCCGCCCATAAAAAATATGGACGGAAAAAAGCATGGGATATGCGAGAGTATGGCTTATTGGGTATATGGATTTTTGGAGAGACGACTGATAGTAGAATTCAAACTATCCCCTTCTCACCCTTTGGCCAAATTCCAATATCTGTTACAGGTTGTAATCTGATGCTCCTGGAGGTTTTTTGTTAGTACAATCAACAATTTTCACACTAAAAATACAAAAAAATACTCAAATCAAAGGTCTCAACCATAGGAACAATATGCATATTGTTTTGTATTTTTTTCTCTCTTCCTGACTGCTCAGTATCTTTGTGTGTATTTATATTTTCTGCCCGGAAAATATTATATTTTGTGTAGTGTAAGCTGAGCCTTGTGAAACTCAGCCATTCTATAGAAGGGATGGCAACCTTCAGTGCGTATTCCTCAGGAAACCTTGACCCATGTCTGGGAGTCATTTGGTGTGATACCTCTGCAGACAGAGACAACACATCCAACACAGCCATGGGGAACTGATTCTGAATGGATCTACAAAGAGTAATGTAGACTGTTAGACTATTTTTGGGTTAAAAAATTAAATAAAAGTGGCTGACCATTACCCACACACCAGCCTTGACCTTTTCAGTGTTATGAATGGCTCATGCACGGCGTGATAGATTCTCCAATACGTATAACTGAGATTGCGGTATGAGGAAAACTCTACTGTACAAATGGGGGACAAGAGTTGTTCCTCTGGACCTGTGACATGTCTACACGGATAACGTGACATGTTTGGATCATAACAGTATCCCCCTTTTAACGCCCAGGCTCTGTGATGATTGCCCTGCACTCCTCCACGAACCAGCATTAAAAAACCCACTTGGGGAAAAAGCTTGGCTCTCACATCCTTCTCCTTCTCCTGTGTGTCTTCATTGCTTCTGGATACTTGATTTTAAATTTGTCTACTAATTGTTTTGCGTTTCCTAAATTTGTTACCGGTTCCCACGAATTGTGCTCTCTACCGTACCCTCTCCAACTAATTAAATACTCCTCCTTCTTGCCACGCATCCTCCCATCTAGTACTGCTTCTACTTCATACTCCTGCTCTCCTTGTAATTCGATTGGCGGTGGTGGTAGTTGAATTTGTTCTTTGATTGTATCCGCTTTGTACTCTCGTAGTTGGGATACGTGGAATACTGGGTGTAATCTATGCAAACTGAGAGGCAATTCAATCTTGTAAGCTACCTCTGATACACACTTAATAATTTTGAAAGGCCCTAGCCATCGATGGTCCATTTTCGCGCTTGGTCGTGTTGTGGATACGTTCTTGCTGCTTGACCACACCTTTGCTCCCACCTTCCATTCAGGGTTTGTCCTTCTGTTTTTGTCATGATAGTATTTCATCAATTCTTGTGCTGATTTAAGGCTTTCTGTGATTTCACTCTGAACTTTGTTAATCTGTTGGATTCTTGCTTTGACAGCCGGGATACATTGCTCTGACAATGGAATAGTCGTATAAGTTGGGTCGTAGCCGTAATTTGCCTTAAACGGGGATAATCCTGTCAAACTGTGCGTACTGTTATTGTAAGCAAATTCAGCCATAGCTAATAAAGGTTCCCAATTGTCCCGTTTATAACTTGTGAAATGTCTCAGATACCCTTCTACGGCTTTATTCACAATCTCTGATTGTCCGTCAGTTTCTGGGTGATACGCTGTCGATGGTGTGGATTTAATACCTAGTTTCTTGTAAAGTGATTGAGTCAGTTGTGAAATGAATATACCACCTCTGTCTGAGATGATTGTCTTTGGCGTCCCGTGCAGTCTCCATACATTACGTAGCATCAATTCCGCTAGATCTTCGGCTGAAGTGGTGTTGTTACAGGCAATGAAGTGCGCCATCTTCGTTAGTCTGTCTACAACCATTAGTATGCACGTCTTGCCGTTTGACTCTGGCAACTCCGTTATGAGGTCATACGAGATGCCTGTCCAAGGACCCGCCGGTATAGGAAGGGGTTTCAACATACCAAAAGGTTTTTGATTTGAAGTCTTGACCCTTTGACATGAGTCACATCCATCAACGTAACGATTTACAAACGCTTTCATTCCTTTCCACCTGAAATGCCGCTTGACAAGACTTAGAGTTTTTGCACGACCCGGGTGACCAGCCATTGGGCTATCGTGGCGGCTTCTTACAATTTCAGTTTTGATATTGTTGTCGGCTGGTACTACCACACAGTCCTTGTGGTATAAAATACCTTCTTGTGTTGAGTAGTCTGCTACTAGATTCTTCATCTGATTTGATAGTGGTCTCTCGACCACTTGTATCAATTCTTTTACTGAGTTATCAGTAGCTGAAGCGTTGCGGATTGACTTGAGGATGCTGACATCGGATTTGATACTAGTGTCTCTTTCTGAATCCAAGTCCAGTACGTCTATCTTGAACCATTCTTCTGAGTTCTCGTTCACAATGGTTTCATCTTCAAAGTGAGCTTCGAAGCTGTCGATTTGTCCTAGGAATGTATTGTCAACGATGTTTTCAGGTTTTAATAGCTGCCTGAATGTAAGTTTCTCGTCAGAGGGAGGTGCTAAATCTGGCCTTCTCGATAGAGCGCCGGGTCTGGTTGCCTCTCTTCCTGGTCTAAATCTGATCTGGGAATCGAAACTCCCTAATGTCTCTGCCCATCTTGCTTGTCGGCGCGTCAGCTGCTTGCTTGGCATAAAACTCTCTAAGTTCTTGTGATCCGTATAAACAATTACGTCCAGGCAATTTGGATTTCCTTCTAAGTACTGTCTCCATTCCTTAAAGGAAGCCACTACCGCCAAAAGCTCCTTATCGAAGATTTTGTAATTCTTCTCCGCTGCTATCAACAACCGTGACAAATAAGCTACTGGGTGGAGAAGTCCATCATCCGCAACTTGCGATAATACCGCTCCGAGTGCGTAGTCCGAACAGTCACATTCCAGCACGAATGGCTTGTAAGGATCGGCGATGCGTAGAATTGGAGCCGTTGTGAATGCCTCTTTCAGATCTTTGAACACTTTGTCTCTCTTCTTGTTCCATTCAAATTTCGCGTCCTTGCAGGTAAGTTCGTGTAATGGTCTTGCTGTCTTCGAGAACTGACTGATGAATCTTCTATAAAAATTAGCAAAACCAACAAATCTTTGTAATTCCGTCACAGATTTTGGTGCAGGCCACTCTTTGACTGCCTTGACTTTTGCAGGGTCCATCCGAATCTTGTTTTTTGAAATAAGTAAACCTAGATAATATACACCATAAGGCACGAAATGGTGTAGGTGTCCATTCCTGTGAAAGACTAAGGCTAACGTGTGAAAGTTAGATCAATACAGATCCTCAGGTAAAGATTTGAAATTCTAGATTTCAACCTTAACCTTCATCATCTCCTCACACTCTTAGTTTTCACGCTTTGAAAGAAGCTTTTTCATTTTTTCCAGCGCTCAGTCAACTCTTTGCTAGAACTCGTTTCTTAATTTTTATTAGAATTTAAAGTACACCAAAATGGCCCTAAGACAACAAATCGATAGAACAGCAAATAACATACAACGACGATTGACTAGAGCAGAAGCGGCAGCAACTGGAGCTCAATTAGAAGAAAGGCTTGTAACACCTAGAAGAGGAGATGGTAGGATGAGGAATCAAGCGAGAAGGAGAGTAGAAGAAGAAGAAAGTGACGGAAATAGATCACACATACCACGACGAAGGTTGAATCAAGTAGAAGAAAGGAATGAAGAAGAAGAAGAAGAAAGTGAGGAATGGGGAGGAATAAAGGAAGTAGAAGAGGAGAATGAAGAGGAATTAGAAGATGAAACGTTGGAAGAAGGCACGACGTTAAATCGTATAACAGAAAGAATTAAGAAAGGTAAGACTCACTGTCTTCATTTAAATCTCTCTATTCCTTCTCTCTTCCCCTCGAAATCGACATAGATTCGCAACAAATCGACTATATCGTCACGCATACTGGAAATAGCCTGGCTCGGCTTCAAATAGGTGCCCAGCCAGGGTCGGCTTACAATAGATACCTCAGCCTG